AGGGCACTGGTTAAGCTGGAATTAATAGCAAAACAGTCAGTGGCTGTGTCAAGCTGTCACAGCACTTGGCCGACTTTTCCTTTTGAAAATCAGATAGTGCTGAGTCTCAAACATGCCCAGAAGACAGTGAAGATTGCTGCTTACACTAGGAAATAGATCTTTTTTTTATAATGAGCTTCTCTATTCATTCAAACATCATGCAGTGACTTGATGAGGCTTAAATCATACTTCACTAACTGAATTCACCAAGGAAGGTGCTTGCTGCTGTAAAGGAACTCAAACATAGCCCATGTGTCTGCTGGGGAAACATTAAGCATCTGTCACATATACCGGTCCCTCTCCCTTCCCAAGTTTTAACATCCTTACTTATTTCACATTCACTTTTCCTTTATTGATCTCTACCGTCAGGGTCATTATAATATATCAGATAATGCACCTGGGACACAACTTGTCCAGGGTACCCTATACATATACCCTGCTCACCGGGACACCATTCGGTAGTAGACCCAGGAAGCTTACCCCAATGTGCTTCTTATTTACCAGTCTGGGAGCTTCTTTATACATGTTATTGCACAGGTCTGATTCTCATCATGACTTAGGTTTAAATCTGCTTGGACTGGTGGAGATACACTGCTATGAAACTGTTTTGAGATGTGGATCATGGCCTGCTTTGGGCTGGGCACTTCCCTTGTGCCCTCCTGATGGGCATAAGGGACTGTCTTCCAGGGCAAAACAATGGCAGCTATACTAAATCCCAGTAGAATAATAGTCTTGTAAACAAGTGAGTGCTTCACCATTACTTAATACTGCCAATTGAAGCATTCTTCTGAGAAATTCAAAGATGTGGGCGTTGAGACTCCTCATGTCTTTAAGCTGTTTCTTTTTAAAGATCACTCTCCTCGGATACACCTAGTCTTCCTGCATCTGAAATCATGGCAAAAGACCCAGAAACTGGTGAAGCTGTATCTTCTCTTTGAACACAGTATACAAAATTCAGTACTGGTCCATGGTAGAAAAGAGCATGCAAGTTACTAACAACTTAGAAAGGGGTCTACTCTCCCTTGTGCCCTCTATAATCCATTTCTTTTCCTCCATGGATTCATTTTTTTTTTTTTTTAAATAATCATTTTTGTAATTTTTTAAAAAGTAAAATGACTCTTCTACATTCAGGGCTTTAACTTCCTTTCACTACATCATTAACAATCTACAGTTCCTCTCAAAGGAAACTTGTTCTGGTACCTGTTTCAGAGCATGTTCCTCCTCAGAGCATATCCATGGCTTCCTTCATCTGTAGCAGGACATTCCGTGCCAGGGCAACTGCAGGACCAAGGCTAAAGAAGTTGCTGTCAGGAGAAACTGTGCTAGAAAACTATGAAATGGGAGAATGGAGAGAAAAATTCTGTAAAAATAGAGACATAGACAGTGAAGGAAAGCAGCATAAATATCAGC